GGGGGGTCTGTTTTGCAGCTCCATGGCAAAGTACGCCGGGCCCAAGCTGTCCCCAATCGTCAAGAGCCTCGCGCCCATGCTGAACAGCATCTACGACAGCCAGCGGGTCACCACCACGGCCTTCTTCGCAGAGGTGAGTCGGCCGGAGGGGGCTGGGCAGGGCTGGGGAGGGGGGCGCTGGTGCCACTGGACTCCCCAGAGGCTGGACTTCACGCCAGGGAGCTGCTGCCCGAACATTCCCTGTGCGCTGCTGTTGCCTGGTTCGGTAGGGCTGAGGGGGAGCGGGGGTTCTCTTCTGTCTCTCCCCCCATGCCCCGCCAGTAGAATGAGTTGTGGAAAATGGCCCAGCCTCTCTAGCGGCAGCTGCAGGGTCGTAAGCAGCCCTGGGGGTGGAAGAGGAGCCGATTCCGCCGAGTGCCCCCCTCTCTTCCTGGCATCCCCCGGCCCGGCCCCGAAGGGGAGTTCAGCTCCGCCGCCGGAGCCAGCAAAGCGTGGCCTCACTGCCCTTGACGTACCACCCTGAGGAATGGAGTGAGTCAGGCCGGGTTCCTGCTGCGCGCGCCGGCTCCACCGCTATAACCCTGTCCCGCCTGCCTCACCACCTTGAGCCCCCCCACCGGGGGGGGGGCTCTTCCAGTGGGCATTGTCTGCACAGAGCAGCCCCCGTGCCGGCCCGGCCGCCACACTCCGTCCCGCTCGTAAACCGCCTCTTAAAGTCTCAGCTGATGCAGCAGCCCCGGATTAAGGCTGCTCATGGCTGGGGAAGCCGGGGGGGGGGGGGGGGGGGGCTGGCCCAGAACCTGAAGCGTGGCCGGCTGCCCGGCCTGCCGAGGTTGAGGAGAGCAGGCGCCCGAGCTGCTCCCCCTCGGCAAGTCAACGAGGTGTGAGCTCCTCCTGCAGGCAAGGGGGACCCTCTCCCCCCCCCCGGGGGCCACACTGGGTGGCTTGCGTCTGGCCCCCGGCAAGCGTGGCCTGGTCAGGGCTGGGGCGCCAGTCCCAGGGGGCTTTGCCGCCTTGGTGGGGTAGGGGACCTGGGGGTCAAACGCCTCCCTCCCTTTTGGGTAGGGGCTGTGGTCCTGTGGTAGTAGAAGAGGAGGAGATTGGATTTATACCCCATGGCCCTTCACTACCCGAAGGAGTGTCAGAGTGGCTGACAGACTCCTTTCCCCTCCCCTCTCCACAACAGACACCCTCTGAGGCGGGTGGGGCTGAGAGAGCTCTGACAGAGACGGCTTTTTTTCAAGGACAGCTCTTATCAGAGCTACGGCTTGCCCAAGGTCATCCAGCCAGGTGCAAGTGGAGGAGCGGGGAATCATACCCGGTTCTCCCGGATTAGAGTCCGCACACTTAACCACGACACAAAACTGGCTCTGAAGAAGAGACTGGATTTATACCCCATGGCCCTTCACTACCCGAAGGAGTCTCAGAGTGGCTTACAAACGCCTTTCCCTTCCCCTCCCCACAACAGACATCCTGTGAGGTCGGTGGGGCTGAGAGAGCTCTGGCAGAAACTGCTCTTTTTCCAAGGACAGCTCTTGTCAGAAATATGGCTTGCCCAAGGTCATCCAGCAGCTGCAAGTGGAGGAGTGGGGAATCAAACCGCCTTCTCCCCGATTAGAGTCCGCGCACTTTAACCACTACACCAAACTGGCTCTTCTTCCATTGGTGGAAGAAGAGGAGGAGGAGGAGGAGATTGGATTTCTACCCCGCCCTTCACTACCCAAGGGAGTCTCAGAGTGGCTCACAGTCTCCTTTCCCTTCTCCCCTCCCCACAACAGACACCCTGTGAGGTAGGCAGGGCGGAGAGAGCTCTGAGAGAAACGGCTCTTTTTCAAGAACAGCTCTAGTCAGAGCTATGGCTTGCCCAAGGTCATCCAGCCGGCTGCAAGTGGGGGAGGAGTGGGGAATCAAAGCCGGTGCTCCCAGATTAAGAGTCCACGCGCTTAACCACGACACAGAGTAGAGCCTCTGCTTGGCATGCAGAAGGTCCCGGGTTCTGTCCCCGGCAGCATCTTCAGTTAAAAGGACCAGGCAGCAGGTGGCGTCCAAGACCTCGGCCGGGGGCCCTGGAGAGCCGATGCCTGTCTGAGTAGACAAGACTGACCCCAATGGACCGATGGCCCCGATGATGAACTTGGGTGCCCTCCGGGTGGGCTCTGCCTCCCCCCTGTCTTCCAGCTCCTCAAGAGCAACGTGGTCAATGACTTGGTCCTCTTGGAATCCATGATGGACAACATGACGGCCCGCCAGAGGGACCCTTGCGCAGCCGTGCGCATGCTTGCCCTGCGGGGGCTCGGCAACATGGCCTTGGGCTCTCCAGGAAAGGTGAGGGCAGAGTGGGGCAGGCGTTGCTCTCGTGCCCCTATCCTGGGCTGGGCTTTTGTCTGTCTTGGTCGCCGTGGCTCCGGAAGGGACTACAGCTCCCAGAGTGCCCTGCATCCGGCTGCCTGGGGAGAGCCTAGACTACAGCTCCCCGCCGCCTGCCAGGGCTCCGGAGGCCGTGAAGGGCCCGGTGTTGGGGGCTGCCTTTCTTTTGCCTCCCCGAGGGTCCAGCCCCCGAGTGACGTTCTGCGCTTGCCTCTCGTTCTGGTTCCGGCTTGGCTTCCCGTGGCCCAGGTCTGCGCTTTCCCCCCCCCTCCCCACCGCCCACCCCCAACGAGGCCGCCGCCCCCTGAAGCTGCCGGAGGGGGGCCCTTCCCACCCAGCCTTCGGAACACATCGAGCAGGGGTCCCGCTGGTCCGGAGCCCCCGTGTCCAGGCCCCCGAGCTCTTTGCCCTTCCCCCCCCCCGCAGGGGAGGCAGCACGGCACCCAGCTGCTGGCCTCCATGGTCGACGGGATGGACGACAAGGACGACCCCCACAACGCGGTGGCCCTGGAAGCCATGTCCAGCCTCTCCCGCCTCCTGGCCTTCACGGAGGGGAGGGACGTCCGCTCCATGCTGCTCCACATCGCCATCCGCATACGGCCCTTCTTTGACAACGTAAGAGCCAAGGGCCGGGGAGGGGCTGGGCCGGCCTGCCCATGTGGCGGTCAGTAAGGGTGGGGAGATGGGAGGCCTGACCGGGCCCTGCTTGGAACAGACTTGGAAGGAGGGGGAGCCCTGCACCCCGGCTCTGGTGGCCCAGCAGAGCCTCCCTCCGGGTGGGAGGAGGGGTCCCGAGGGGCATCCTGAGCTCGGCCCCTGCTGACTACAGAGAGGGGGGAAGGGGCTGGCACCAGTGTTCCCTCTAAGAAGCTGAGTCAGTGTGAGCCAGCTCACAGTTTTTTAGCCTCCGGCTCACACATTTTTGTCTCCGCTCAGGAAGGATGGGGCTCCAGGGCAAACTGATTTATACAGCAGCCAAATCGCTCGCTCACAGCTTTGATGCCAGGAGCTCACAAAGTAGAAATTTTGCTCACTAGACTCCAAAGCTTAGAGGGAACATTGGCTGGCACCCTGGGAAGCGACTTTGGGGCCTCTGCTTGACCGCCTTTCCTCGGCTGGGCCAGCTTCAGCCCCACAGCTCTTGTCACTTTTCCTCTCTCGTGAGCAAAGGGGTGCGTGCGTGTGAATCTCTCCTCCCCAGAGCCTGGGGGTGGGAGCCTCGCAGGTCCCTCAGTGGTGTTGGCGAGGGGCATGGGGCCTCCAGGGTGTCTGGGCGGAGGGGGCCCCCCCTGAACCCCAAGCCGGTGCTTCCCCCGCAGGAGAAACCGGAGCTCCGCCAGTCTTCCATTGTCCTCTTTGGGAACCTGACCAAGTTCAGCGCCGGGAGCTGTGAGGACGCCTTCTTCGAGCAGATCCTGAATGGCCTCGTGACTCTCCTGCTCCACCTGCAGGACCCGAAGCCGGAGGTTGTCAAGGTGGGCAGCCGGGTGGGCGGGGGGGGGGGATGGCCGTTGCCGTGGAGCCAGGGAGGCTTCTGACTCGCCCCTTTCCCTCCCTGCAGGCCTGCAAGTTTGCCCTGCGCATGTGCGGCCCCAGCATGGGCTGCCCCATGCTCTGCGACATGTTCCAGAACCACCTCCACGAGGACCGTGGCCTCCATTATGGCGAATTCATGAACGACGTCTGCAAGCACCTGGTGAGGGAAAGGGGGCCCTGGTGGGTGGGTGGGTGGGTGGGTCCCTGGGCCATGCTGCCTTGCGGGACCCGGAGCCTTGCGTTGTGGTGCCGTCCCCTCTCCAGAGCACCTGCGGTTGGCCAGTGGCATCCTGTGGGCATTTCTTTCAGCAGTGGTGACTGCTGCGACCGGTGAATCGGCCGTTGGCAGGAGTGGCCGAGGAAAGCCGTGCCAGATGTGATGGGGCCTTGCTCGCTCGCTGTGGAGGCACAGGCCTGGCGCCTGCCCGTGCAGTGGGGTTATCTGGGACAGCCCCTTGGAATCTTCTGGCCGTGCCCAGGATGGGGCGGCCGGGGGGCGTGGCGCAACGGGTTGCAGAACTGCCCTAGAGGGCTTGAGTGCACCTCTCTAGCAAAACTCCACGCATGGGTGGGAGGCCTCCCAGCCCGCCCCTTCTCACCCACCCTTCAGGGCAAGCGGGGATCTGGGTCTATCGGTTCGACCATTGCCCCCCCCCCCACGGGTTCTCTCTCAGTGGGTGGGCGGGCCTCGTAAGCCGTGACCCTCCTGAGTAGGGGGCCACTGGCCGAGGATGACCTGTGTGGCCCTCCCTCCCTCCGCTCAGATGCAGAATTACCCGGACACGCTGAGCCGCCTGATAGCCACCAACCTCTTCTACTTCAAGAGCAACTGGGCCGACATCCGGGCTGCTGCCCCCATGTTTGTGGGTGAGTGGGCAAGGGGAGGGGGAGCCCCATTCGCATGCCATCCGGAACGGAGGGAGTCCCACTTCCGTTGGCTGCGTGGCTGGCGCTGAGTGTGTGTGTGTGGGGGTGGTGCTTCTGCTCCCAGTGCCGGGTGACCGCCCTTCCCGTTTCTCCCTCCCAGGCTTCCTGGTCCTGCATGTTGACCGAGGGCACTGCCAGCAGCTGGACGTGGAGGAACTCCTGGCAGGTGAGAAGAGGGGGCCTGCTGGGGGCGGGGCTCCTCCTGGGGCTCCCACTAAGCTGTGGAGTCTTGTGAGAGACTGGCCCTGAAGTTGTGAGCGAGTGATTTGGCTGCTGCAGAAACTAGTTTGCTCTGGAGCCCCATCCTTCCTGAGCGAAGGCAAAAGTGTGTGAGCCGGAAGCCAAAAAAACCTGTGAGCTCAGCTCACGCAGCTTAGAGGGAACACTGCTCCGCAGTCTGCCTCCCCAGTGGGGGATCCAGTGTTGAGAGAAGCCTGCTCCATCCTCGCATTGGGGGGGGGGGGGTGCGCGTGCGCGCAGGAGTTGCGTCCCTGCAGCTCGGATTCAGGTGCACGAGTGAGCACCTCTTCCTAGGCAGTCGGGATGGTCCCACCCCACAAGCAGCCCTCCCTCCCTCCCTCCCTCCCAGTGTGGGGTGGCGGCCCAGTGGTGGAGTGAGGGTGCACCGTGGGGGCTGAGCGTCCTGCCACTCAGGCCTTGCCCATTGAAAGCCTTCTATCGAAAGGAAGCATCAGAGTGGGGGGTGCCAGTGGGATCCTCCCCCCCCACTACCGCCCAGAGCTGCCCTCAGCGAGGCCCCACCTTCTCCAGGTTGGTTCCAGGGCAAAAAAAAAAGTGGGGGGGGGGGAGCGAGGTGTGCGCGTGCCTCTGCACTTCAGTATTTTGCAGCTGCCGGGGCGCCTGGAAGATCTGCTGCTCCTATTTAAATGAATCGCAGGCTCCAGTTTGCAGGAGAGCCAGTCTGATGTGGCGGTGAAGTGCGCGGAGTCTAATCTGGGAGAGCCGGGTTTGATTCCCCCACTCCTCCACTCGCACCTGGCTGGATGACCTTGGGCAAGCCGTAGTCGTGATAAGAGCTGTCCTTGAAAAAGATCAGTTTCTGTCAAGAGCTCTCTCAGCACCGCCTACCTCGCAGGGGGTGTCTGTTGTGGGGAGGGGAAGGGGAAGGAGTTTGTCAGCCGCTCTGAGACTCCCTTGGGGAGTGAAGGGCCATGGGGTATAAACCCAATCTCTTCTTCAGAGCCAGTTTGGCTTAGTGGTTAAGAGCAGCGGACTCTAACCTGGGAGAACCGGGTTTGATTCCCCACTCCTCCTCCACTGGATGACCTTGGGCAAGCCGTAGTTCTGATAAGAACTGTCCTTGAAAAAGAGCAGTTTCCGTCAGGAGCTCTCTCAGCCCCACCTGCCTCACAGGAGGGTGTCTGTTGTGGGGAGGGGAAGGGAGAGGAGTTTGTCAGCCGCTCTGAGGCTCCTTCGGGTAGTGAAGGGCCATGGGGTGTAGATCTCTTCTTCTTCCATCCCTGTCCCTGCCGCACAGACTTGTGGGACTGCAGATGTGAGGATGGCGGGTCGTAGAGGTGTTCAGTTGGGCTCTGTATGTGGGGGGGGGGAGAGGTGTGGGGCTAGGAGGAAGAGGTGGAACGCTGCCGCCCTCCGCCTCCGCGAACCCGTCCCCAGTTGTCCGAGGACTGAAGTACCATCCTGGAGGGGAGGCCGGGGCACGTGGACTCAGGTGTGAAGGCGCTTGTTGTGCGAGAGTCCTTCGGCCCACGGCGGCAGTTTCTCCTGAGCAACCCCGGCACTTGGGGGCTGGCTGTGACCTGGGCCAGGTGAGGGGGAGGTCTCCTGCTGGCACCTGAACCCCCCTCGTCCTCCTCCCCGTGCAGAAACCTGCCCCTGTTCCAGGAGGAGGAGGAGGAGAGGGAGCCGGTGAAGTCACTCACTTTCCTGGATTTCAGGGCTGTTTTCCTTGTCAGCAGTGACCTCATCGCTTAGAATAAGGCTCGGAAAATCTCAGCGCTTTCCAGCAAAGCTTAAAAACCACTAAAAAAGGAAAAACTATCTTTCCGTTGGCTGCCGGAGGGATCCTGAAGAGAGAGCGGGGGGGGGGGGCGGTCTTTTTGCGGGGGTGTGCGCATGGGGGGGGGAGAGGCTTTGGAGGGGGAGCGGGGAGAGTGTGGGCCGGACCGGGTCACCGCACAGCTTCCCGTATTGAGCGGGCTGCCGCGCAAGGCCCTCTGGCTGACGGCAGGCTGGGGGGGGGAGGGAGCTCCTGCAGCTGGCCCCGCACTGATCAACGGGAAGGGAAGCCGCTCGGCACATAAATCAGGCCTTCTCTGGCCCGCTCCGGAGGGACAGGAGAGTCTCGGATTTGCAGTGTAAACACGCTACTGGAAAAATATTATTGTATCTCCGCTGCTTGGGAAGAGCCGGCGGCCCCGCTCCGCTTTTGGCTGGGTGCGTGCCAGGCCCTGGCTGCAGGAACTGACGGCCCCGGCTGAGCCCTCCAGAGGTGTGTGGGGGGGGAGGGGAGGCTTCGCCCAGCTGTGCTGAAGACTTGCACCTGGCTGCAGCGGCTGGGCAGGCCGGTGTCCTGACTACTGGGAGCTGGGGTGTGGCTCACAGGCGTGAAGGCGCTTCAGAAGGCGCTGCTGGGCAGTGGGCCCACTCCTCATGGGAAGGCAGGCTGCCGGGTTCATGCCCGTGGCTTGCAGGGGGGCAGAGTGCGGTCCCGGGCTTGCTCCTGACCCGGTTCCTCTGCT